TAACTGTGGCTAGGCCTGCCAGTCGTTTGGTGATGGTCTGTGACAGAGTTTCTTAGGGGTGGCTAAAAATTATAGAAATTTGATATTTCTTTAATTTATTATATTATAATAATTTTACAATTACCAAATATTTTTACACACTGTATCTGAAAATAGTTAAAGCTAAGACAATACAGAAAAAGAAAAAAAGGAAACATTTCGCCGCATTCTTTTTATAATATAAATGTTAATTTTACTTGCTTTGCACATAACACTGTCATTTCATCTGTTACTTATTTAAAATTTTCACATTGTCCTGTATTAAAATTAAAAATTAAAGCTAACGACCTAAAACTGCAATAGTATATTACAGTACAAGTGAAAAAATTGACAGTTTCACTCACATGTGTGTTGGATTTGAGCAATGTTTATGGGGTCCCACAAAATTTTCATAAATATTATGGGGTCTTTGGCTCGGGAAAACATCTCAGTGATAAAAAGGCGTCACGACTGAAAAAAGTTTAAGAAGCCTTGGTCTGTGACATAGCGTTGGTGGTCCTTTCATAATGTTGGCATTTCTTTAGCAGGGGCCGTAACGATCAGGAATTGCCTTTCTACGTGTTGCTTTTGCCAAAATATAGTTTTTCCATGTTCTTTATGTATAAAGTTAATAGTTAAAAGGGATGTTTTCAGCTATCATTTTTGGCACCTGACAGATGCTTATGTATTATCATATGCTATTGTTTATAGGAAAAGTTCATGCTAATACAATATAGTGTTTTATTTCAAATTATTTTTCCCATGTTCAGAACTTCATTCTTTTTCTTTCCTTTTTTTTTTTTTTTTTAAAGTTTTAAGAACTGTTTTCTCTTTTCAATAATAAAGCATTTTTTAATGAGGCAAATGTTGCTGCTTTAAAAATGATAAATTGTGTCGTTCAAATTAAAAAAAAAAAAAGAACAATAATGATAGATAGAGTCTTGTTTTCTTTGGTAGCATAAACTAACAAGACCTAGAAGACAGAGTGAGGGATTACCCTCAGGTCTTAAGTATGACAGATGATGTCTAAAGAAGGAATTTAATATAAGTTCACAGATGGTTTCACTTGGGTGTACACAAAAGCTAGCACTTCTAGCTTAACTCAAACAGATAACGATGCATTTAAAATTAAATGTAGTAACTTTAGTGTAATGGCTCACAGAGAAGTGTAATGTGCAGGAAGGTTCTAACTCATAAAAGTCAGTGTAAACAAGCCTAATGGCTAGAAGTGCTCAATGTCACAGAAATCTAATCACTAGAAATTCAATGTAGCAACATGGCCTTCAAGGAGGCATAAGATGCTCTAAAATCACCTTTCAAAACCTTCCCTTAAATGCTACGTCTTTCTACCTCATATGAATGCATACGCTCTAGATTATTAACATCCTGGCAGGGAGTGAAAATGTGGATCAAAGGAAAGTTGCTTTAAAATAAAAATTAACTATTAGTTAAATTAAATGAATCACCACAAAGTAATCTAATTCAAATTAAAGAATTAAAATTTAAAAAAAAAAAAAAAAGAAGAAGAAGAAGAAAAGAAAGTAAACTTAAAATCGTGAAAAAAAAAATTGTGTAATATTTCTTTATTTTAGATGCTGATTTCTGAATTTTTGAGGCTACTGCTCCTAAATATGCTTGAAATAAGTTTTCATTATCATAAATTCTCTTGTCTGTTTAATAATCACATTATCGTCACACTTGTATGATAATTTACACAATTCTCCATTTATTAAAGCTTGAATTCAGTTGTAAACAATATTTCTGCTTAATTGAGAAATCAACCTTTTCTCTCATTGTATGATTAATCTTATTTTTAGTTATGTTTTCTCACTGTTGAAGGCTTTTATTACAATTTTTAGAATTCAGTACACAATCTTAAAAATATCAGTAGTTCTAAAAATTGAACTAAAATTTCTTTTATGATGCACATACTTTTTGTCAGAGAAACTTCAGGATTTGTTTAGATTGTTTTTCAGATTCATCGTAAGCAAGAAATTGCATACCATCTGATAACACACGATCACAGTATAACATATCTTTTCTGAAAATCCTTGGAAATGTACTTTTAATTTTGTGGTAAAAAATAATAAAACATATTTAAGTTAATTCACAATGTCAGTATGCATTATTTCTGCCAATCCAGAATGTGTTGTGTGTATCAATTATGATAAGGTCAAATTTTTAAGGAATAGAGCGATTGGTGAAGGTCAGATTAGTTTTGAAGCCAATCTGCATACTCATCATTACATTTTTGTGCTAGTTGTCATGGTAATTTTAATCATTTAGTATATGTGGTGAGAATTTTTATTATTGTATTAAGATCTGAAGCATATAATTTTAGTGGCTGTTTATTTTTTATGCTTTTTTTTTTTTTTCTATGATTAAAATTTACTTTAAAGTTGAAATTTAATTTTTAATTATTTTTAATTTACAAAGTCATCTGAACTGGTTTTTAACTATGGGAAGAGCTAGTTTTCATGTATATCAAGATATGTGGTTCCCATAATAGTGGGCTATATGAAGCGAAAAAAAATCATACAACTTTTCCTAAGAAATAATGGGAAGGGGGGAAAAAATTTTAGCTTCGTGTGAATCTGTCTGATGCTGTATAATTTAATGTAGTTAAACTTGCCGCTTGGATGAAAAGTAGCACCATTGCTAAACACAAAACATGTTAAAAAAACTGTCGTCTTGTGACATATTCTGAGGGATGAATTCACAAAACTTCACATGTCATTCTCAACTGTATGAAAAACTTGCAGTAGTTGAATCCTGTATGGTTTGAGAAACAAACATTGATGCAAAACATGCGAGACAAATGTTACAAGAATGTCAAGTTTCCTATTGGTATGGTGAGTGGGTTTCTGTGGACTCCAAGAGAAATTCTTTTCGATGCACTCCACATTTTTGTCTGACATGTAGTATTGGCTAGGTGATTTTTCATTTACCGAGACAACGTATGTCTGGGATTGTTTTATACAGTACAAAGTCTTTAATCCGGAATGATCTATAATCCGGACCTCAAAGCTACAAACTTTCTGCGCATGCGTAAACGCATAATGCGTTTACACATGCGCATAATACATTTACGCATGCGCTTAATACGTTTACGCATGTGCATTTTAATGTATAACGGACGGTATAAGTTAGGCGAAAATTTTCTAATTATCTATTTCAGTTAATGTTGCAGATCGCGTTTTCCTTAATCTTCTAATTGTATCCGTCTTATTATTTTTTGCAGACTGTTAGAGCAATTCTATAAAAAGTAAGCTTGAATTTTTGATTATGTCAAAAAGAGTTTCCGATTCTAGAGCTGCGAAAGGATCTACAAAGCGAAAGCGTGTTTCGATGTACCGCTTCCGATAGTGAAGAAAGTGACAGAGAGGTTATTGAAAACGCAAAAATTTCAATTGACAAGTTAGTCGGTATTCTCGACGCAGCAATTATAGGACTTGAACAGTGGAACTGAACAAGAAATTATGTCTGTTTATAGAATTAAAGAGAAAGTAATTAGCACAAAAAATGAAGCAACGTAAACAACTTACATTGAAAGAAATGTTTAATAAAGTAAAAAAATAAATATTAAGCCTTTTTTTTTTTTTTTTTTTAAATTTTGATACCCTTTAGATCATAATTGCTCTTTATTTCATAAATTACAGTTTCATATTTTTAATTTTATAATTTCTGCATGCCATCTTACCAGATTTAAATTGATGATCTATAATCTGGAAAACCCCTAATCCGGAATCGCTGAAGTCCCGACGAGTCCGGATTAAAGACTTTGTACTGTACCATTGCCCAATGCTCTAAATAGGAAATTGTTGAATACAGGGTACTGTTGCTGAAAATCATGCTGAACAGTTATTACAGACTCGCACTTCCCGAAGTGTAGAACACATAAACTCCTCTCTTGTGCAGCTGTGATCTAGACAAACACTGATGTGGCAGACAAAAGAAGAGCATTAGCACTCTTTTGTTGATTGCATGAAACTTAAGATGTCTCTCTTTCTACCTTTACATTATTCAATCAAAATGGATTAAAAGCTGAATAGTTATAATTTTTTTAAATAAGGTGTTTCTTTTTTAAATACCTTGTACATACATAGGAAATGAAAATTTTCACTTTTCTATAAACCAGTACTAATTTTTACCTTCTGCAAACGTGTGCATAAGTAAGGGGGGTAATGTTTTTGGTTCAGAACTTGATAGTGAGTTTTCAACGTATTAGGATGAATTAGGGTCATCACAACATTATGTGTTTTTGGGGGGGAGGGGGGATAATTCTTATGTTAAACTTCCAAAAATTTTTGTTTTCCATATTTAAGCTCTCTGCATTCATATAAAGAGTTGATTAGATTTTGGGTAAAACTGGGCACCCAGAATTGCTGTTTTTCTTGAAGATCATAGCAATTTTTAATGGACTACTGGATGTTTTACTTAACTTGAAGCCGATAATAGTTTTGCTGCAGTCAACATGACTTATTTTTGCATATAGAAACCATAATACATTGTTGCATGTAACAGACATTGTTTACTGATATCAAAATATCTTTGGGATTTACATGCAAATAAAAAATGAATTTTGATTTATTACTACTGTAGAAATGACATAGAAGAAAATTAAACTATGATATCCATTTCAAAGTATTTATTTTAAATATATTGTAAACACTTAATTTTCTTCAATTAAAATGCAATAATATGCTATTCAACTTGCCAATAGAATATAATTATGATTAAAAAAATGAAGGGGCAGACATTTGGTTATGTTCATATAAATTTAGAAAAACCAGTGTTTGCATATATTTAGTAAAATTTAATCTAAAATTTTATATTACAGACCTTATTTGAGCAATAAATTAGATTTTGTTTACAAATAATCTTCTTTAATTACAACGCGTTGCTGTTTAAAACATGTAATTGGCATGAGGGCATATGTTGGCCACGTCAAAATAATTTTCATTGTTTTTTTGTAATTCTAGTGGACTGTTAATGGTGAGCTCAGAGTTGGAGTATTTGCTAAACGGTCCATGAGTGCTGGAGAAGAACTGACACTGGATTATCAGTTTCAACGTTATGGGTAAAATTAATTCCTTTTTAGCCTTGTTTATTAAGGCCATAGTCTTCAATACCTAAACTGTTACTATAATGATTGCTTAGCATTAATATTTAAAATTTTATTTGTTTTTTCTGATTATCCTCATCTTTCTGAAAAGTATTTGCGAGGCAGTGCACTATGTTGTCAAAAAAGGCAACTGATGATGTCGCAAAAATGTATTTATGTGCCAACCAAATTATATGCATGCAGTAGACAAGTGCATGATTTCCACTTTTAAATTCAGTGGTCATTTTTCTGATTAATATTTGTTTTTGCCTTAAGTGCATCCCCCCACCAAAAAATCTTGTATGGAATTGCAATGGAACTCTGGAGTTTGCTGGCTGATGAAATGAAAGTGTTGCATTTCTTCAGAAATAAAGGGTTTAGTCCAGTAGCCCCCCCCCAAAAAAAATCGAAATTTGTAACCATAATAATTGAACAAATCGAAATTTATATACTTCTCTGGTGTTTTTTAAAATGTAAATAGATTGCTGTGTACATGTGAGCAACAATTCTTCATTTTGATTTTGTGAATTCTTAATGTGCCATTGTTTTCAAAATAGCAGTTACTTTTTGTGTATTGGCTTGGCAAAAATTAGTCAGCTGTGAGTTGATAATATTGCAGAGGAATGTGCAGATAATCCAGAAGTACTCTTTATTTTTATTTCTAATTTTTTGTTCTTATTATTTAATTTTTTATTTTTGCTTATTGCAATTTTGCCTTTACTTATGAAGCTCTAACTTTCTAAAACTGAGATGAAAGACTTCAGAACTATTACACTGTCTTATGTTCAGTGTTTTTATCTAGAATATTTTTCAACAATATTTTTAATTTTTCTCATTGAGTAATTTTTGTTAAAATGAAATGGTATGAAAAGCTTAAATACAAAATATTTATTTTCAGACGTGAAGCTCAAAAATGTTATTGTGGATCAGATAATTGCTCTGGATATATTGGTGGAGCTAAACAGATCTCAATTGATGCATATGGTGCAAATAAATCCGGTACCTCGAGACGAAAAAAAGGCTCAGATGATAAGAAACGGGAATGGGAAGATTTAACTGTAAGTCAAACTTCTTTAAACAATATTTAAATAATTTGGTTCTTATTTATTTATTTTAGCTTGTAAGTATTCAAAATTAAATCTGGCTTATGGTTGATATGTTAATAAGAGTGTAAGTGAAACCACAGGTTAAAATTAAATCAGTCATATAGTTTCAACTTCTTTATAAGAAGGGGGCAAATTAAATAGATTATTGAATTCAAATTTTATGATGGATTTGTAATTTAATTTTTTTAATATTTATGTATTATATTATACTTGCTTTATATCTGAAATATAATGTAGTACTCTTTTAAATGTGTTTTAAATCCATCACATTTAAGAAAATTGTTTGCTCGAATGTAGCCATTATATCCTAGATTGCTTTTTTTTAGTCCAAAGGGGCTTTTTCCCTGAAGGACTATTGTTTTTGTTTTGCGATTTTGCGTCAATTCACAGCAAACAGTGAATCACTTTTCAAACTGTTGCCACAAAGTATTATCGCCCTGTGTTATATTTAAAGAAATTAAATAATAAAAAATCTGCATAAATGTATGTATATTTCTTGCATTGTGATAAAACAACGGTACATGGAGTGTCGAATTTTGAATGATGTAATCCTCCTGCGAATATGGGCATCTCGAAGTCCAAATTTAGAATTTGTTTTATTATTGATTTCCTATTTTGTAAAACTTTAATGAATTTTCGATTACAAACTAAGGATCAAACGAGCATGGCAACGCTGACAGAAAAAACGTTTTTTATCTCGCGAGTGATGTATCGGAAATTCTAAGATATGCTCATTTTAAAACATTTTGCATAGTGCTGTTAATTTTTATGGTTTAAGTTTACAGAACATGATTTTTAATAAATAAATGTAACACACAAAATGTTAAAAAAATGCCCCTTTGGACGTAATTTAAAATCTGAAACATTTCAGATTTTCTCTTATATTTTTTTATTTTTTCCCCCTTTGTTACCCTACGTAGTATTTTTCTTTCCATGGCACAGTCACTTTCAAATGCTTTGAAAGAAACCATTTAGTGTTATTTTTTTTAGTTTTGCAGATTTCACATCCCACCAAAAATAGAAAGTACTGTTACTTGGGCGAATATTTGTTGTAAGCCTTTTGTGTGATTTTTTTTTAAATGATCTAGTGAAGTAAATATACAGCTGTATCTCGAGTAATACTTTTTTTTATTAAATATGGCACATGGTGTTAATTAATGATTAAACAATATTATACCATTTTCCCCCTACTATTTAATTTTGACATTTTGAATAACCATTTTAAGATTCTATGTATTCCATATCTTTAATTTCTGAGAAACTAGAATGCCTTTCATAACAGCTTAGCATAAACCTGTGCTTAACTGAGTTAAGTGTTAAATTGAAATATACATACCAAGATCACGCTTGTTTCAATAATCTTTTTCCCCCCTACCCTACCTTGCTTTTGGTAATTTTTTATGAAGCTGTCTCCTCTTTTTTCATTATAAATTTTCTTTGCAACTCAGCATTACTTATCTGCTTATATGTTTTACAAGCATCGTGCATTTTAACTGTGGAATTGACCTTGATTACGCTTTAATTTTCATCTTATTTGTAGATTTCTTCCCTGACTCTCAAAATTTTTACTTTAATAGTTGATTATTTTGTACTAGTTTTTTTATCGTTTTACTAGCAATATACCTGTTTTAACAGGAAGGAAAAAAAAACTATTTCCATGTGAAATATAAGAATTAGAAAATGCCATACAAGTATGAATAGGGAAAAAGTTAATCCTGAATAATAATAAAGCATGAATTTAAAAAAGAAAAGGTTTAACAGCTTAGGATAAATACTCTAAATGGTAAAAAAATGATGTTTTATTATTGCAGCATTCTTAATCATGTGACTAAAATAACTGTATGGAGATATTAACAGCGAAGAGTTTAAAATCAGAATTGTTGAAGAGAAATTTTAACTAAATTGGATGCTGGCTGATAAAAGTGGGCAGGCACTTGTTTCTCAAGCATTTGTCAAAAGTGGCTTATCAGACATTTAGCCATCTCATTAGCAGCAGCATGTTGTCTAGGGTACACTATAAAGGGTAGACCATTTTATTATATCTTCAACGAAGAGTTGAACCTTTCACACGATTCAAACCCACATCTTACAGTTCAGATAAGCATTCAGACCCAACTAACCAGCATTATCAACCAAGGTGACAGCACTCATTCTGATTTGTGTCATTTTTATGTTATCACTTCTATTGTTTCTTGAAATTGTATCTAAGTACCAATGCAGTTTTTATATGTTCATTCCATAATTTTATATTTAGTCTCATACGACCAAGAATATTGCAATTGAGGGGAGGGGGTAATGCATTTAAATAAAATTCTGTAACTTAAGGGGACGGTGGACTTTAAAAATTAATGTTTTAAGTTTTTGTGTTTTCAACAAGAAGTTTTACATATATACATATTATAACATCAGTTTATAAAATA